TTTTTCTTTTTTTTTTTTCCGGCATATGTGGGGTACGATTTAAGTAGTTCAATAAATGCCCATTTCCCCCCTCCGCCCCCCCAAAAGTAGCTGAGTCTCCATCATGACCATCCCAGATGGTCCACATCTCAACTGGCATTACTGTTCATGGTATATACCCCCTCCCCTTCCGGCGGCCAATACCCTTTACTTGTAGTACCTATGTGTCGCACTTAGGGCTAGCTCAGTTAATACCAGTTTGTTGAGAATTATATCGTGGTGACTTGTTCTCCATTGTCTTGGCGATACTTCACACTTAGGTCAGTTTATGGGTTCTAGGCTCTGTAACCAGGAAAATAAGATGTGCTATATTCACCATTGTTTCTCAGAGCGACATAGTACTGCCATGGTATATATATACTACAATTTTATTAATCCATTCTTTGATTGATGGGCACTTGGGGCTGTTTCCACAGCCTTTGCAATTATGAAGTTGTGGCTCGCGTATAACATTTCGATGTGGAGTGTCTTTTTTGGCTAGAGTCCACTGATCATTGGGGTAGATAGCCCAGCAATGGATTGCTGGATCAAATGTATGATCCACTTGTATCGCACTTTAAGGTATCTCCCATATTGCTTTTCCACAGAGGGCTTGAACTAGGTTTGCAGTTCGATCAGCAATGTAGGAGTGTTCCCTCTCTCTCCGCAACCACGGCCAGCATTTATTGTTTGGTAGATTTTTTGATACAAGGCCATCTCAGCTGTGGTTAAGTGATACTCATTGATGTTTCTTGATTTGCATTTCCCTGATGATTTCAGGGATTGTTGAGCATTTCTTCATATTTTGTGGCCTTCTCTTCTGTCTTTCTTTTTTTTTTTTAATTATCTTTGTTTTTATTTTGGTATTTTTTTTATTTCGGGAATAGGGGTACAGATTTAAGTTTCAATCATAAATGTCCATTTCGCCCCCCCCTCCCCAAAAAGTCTGAGCCCATCATGACCATCCAGATGGTCACATCTCACCTCACTATGTATGTCATATACGCGCCCCCCTCCCCCCTCCCCACCTGCCCAATTACCTATCTGTAGCACTATGTGTCCACCTTAGGTGCTTACTCAGTAATTACCAGTTTTGCTGGAGAATAACTGGATGCTTGTTTTTCCATTCTCTGGGATACTTCCACTTAGTAGATAGTTAGCTCAACCCAGAAAATATAGGTGTGCTTATATCACCATTGATTCTCAGAGCTGAATTAGATACTCCATTGTTAACATGATACCACATTTAGTTCAATCCATTCGTTTGATTGATGGGCACTTGGGCTGTTTCCACAGCGCTTGCAATTAGAATTGTGACTGCTATTAAACATTCGATGCCATGGTCGTCTTTTTTGTAGAGGTGTCACTGGGATCATTTTGGGTAGATGCCCAGCAATGGTTGCCTGGATTCAGAATCGGTAGATTCACGGTTGTATCGCTTTAAGGTATCTCCATATTGCTTTCCACAGAGGGTTGAGACTAGTTTGCGAGTCCCCACCAGCAGTGTTTAGAGGTTCCTCTTCTTCCCGACACCCACGCCAGCATTTTATTGTTTGGAGATTTTTTTGGAAAAGGCCATTCTCCACTGGGTGTAAGTGATATGCCATTGTGGTTTTTGATTTGCATGTTCCCTGATTGATAGAGATGTTGAGCATTTCCTTCCATATGTTTGTTGGCCATTTCCTTCTGTTCTTCTTTAGAAAAAAATTCTTGTTCAAGGTCCTTTGCCCACTTTTTAATGGGTATTTGGATTTTTTCTTCCTAATTTCTGATTCTAATATATTCTATTAGTCAGTCCCTTATCGGATGCATAGGATGCAAAAATTTCTCCCATTCTGTAGGTTTGTCTGTTTACTTTCATTGACTATTTCTTTGGCCTGTGCAAGAAGCTTTGAGTTGATCATGTCCATTTATTATTTTGTTGCTCTGTGATTGCCTTTGGACTCCTTCAATAAACTCCTTTGCCCGCGATGTCTAGGAGAGTGTATTCCAACTTTCCTTAGAGTTCAATAGTTTCATACCTAGGGTTAAGTCTGTTACCCAGCGTGAGTTGGTTTTGTGAGAAGGTGAAAAGGTGTGGGTCCCTGTTTTAGCCCTTCTACAGGTGGCTTATCCAGTTTCCAGCACCATTTTTGAAAGGGATTCTTTTCCCCAGCGTGTATGTTTTGTCAGCTTTGTCAAAGATTAGATGGCTATATGAGGATGGTTTTATATCAGGGATTTGTTTCCACAAGTCGGTTCCACTGGGTCCAATATTCCTGTTTTGTGACAATACCCATATGGTTTAAATGAACTACAGCTTTGTAGTATATTGATATCTGGCATAATTAAGCCCCCATTTTGTTTTTTGCCAGAATTGCTCTTGATTATCAGGTCCTTCTTGTTCCATACGAAGCGTAAAATTATTTTTCTATTCGTGAAGAATGCTGATGGATTTTAATAGGTTTTGCATTGAATCTGTAGATCAGTTTGGGTAGTATAACATTATTTGATGATATGGAGTCTGCCGATTCCACGAAATGGTATGGATTTCCCATCCCGTTTACCTCCTCATGCTATTTCCTTCCTCAGAGTTTCATAGTTTCCCTCTCCCCTGTAAGAGGTCTTTATGTCCTTTCGGTTAAGTAAATTCCTAGGTATTTTAATTTTTTTGCTATTGTGATAGGAATTGAGTCCCTTTGTTTGGTTTCCTCCAATTAGATTGTTTGTTGGCAGTTATATGATGCCTCTGATTTCCTGGTATTGATTTTGTATCCTGAGACTTTACTAAAGATAGAAATAGAAAAAGACATTAACTTCCTAAGCTTTTTAGATCCCTCCCAGTATAGCAACTCTCAAATTACATCAGGGTTTATAAGTCTTTGAAGAAAAATGTGGCCAGACACAATAGCTCATGCCTGTAATTCCAGCACTTTGGGAGGCCACAGCAGGAGGATCACTTGAGGCCAAGAGTTTGAGACCAGCCTGGGCAACATAGACCTAATCTCTACAAAAAAAGAAAAAAATTAAAAAATTAACTAGGTGTAGGGGTACACACATGCAGTCCCAGCTACTTGAGAGGCTGCGGCAGGAGGAACACTGAGCTCAAGGGTTCGAGGGTCCAGCCTGGGCAACAGAGTGAGACCCTGTCTCTAAAAATAAAAAAAACAAAATAATAAAATAAAGAAAATGGATAAATTTTGGTCCAAAACAAAAACAATGCCTCATTATGGTGGAAACATAGAATTCCAGTCACTAGATGATAGTTATGGTGCTGCATAATGATGAATATTCTGCATACCAACATGACAATTAAGATTTTTCCTCCAAAAAGTACACAGTTGCAAATACTTACGTATCTATCAAGTAAGACACTGAATTATAAATGCATGTCTATTTCTGACAAGTTCTAACTTTAAATGTGTTTATGAATTCATTTTAACATCAATGAAGTATTTCATTTGGAGGGAGGAGAGAAAAGAAACCATGAGCCTCCTCTTTTTCTTTAAGAAACATTTTCCCTCTAAATTGTTAAGATAAAGGAGGTTTTACCAACTACAAAAATTTGAAAACCAATCTGATTTATATGGTTATGGATATCAAAGGAATGTCAGGCTTCAAAAAGAGTAATGCTAGCAAAAATTATGCATTGAGCATAACCAGGGCAATAACAAGAAAATAATCTGGGGATAAATACAGAGACCACATTAAATAGCTTATGAAAGATGTAAAACTCAAATCCCCTCTTAAGTAAATCTCATCTAAAAGAAGGATTGTAGAAAATGGGAATGTATGATTTTTTTTAATAAACAATTATGCTTCAGTGCAAATGTATAGTCCAAAACAAAAAAGAAAAGGAAAAAAAAACAAAAAACATCTCATGTGACTTAGCAGGAACAGTTTCCACAGCCTTTCACACTGTTGATAATTTCTTCTTGTAGTTTCTTTCTTTCCTCCTCTTTGGACATATTTTCTTTCTTTGCAACCCATTTGGGGTTATCATGGTTCTGCACATGGCTACCCTGTGTATGCCACATTTCTGAATAGATACTGCCAGGGTTAGCAAGCAAGCCATGGTGGGTACCACGTTCAGCTACCTTACCCTGGTCCAAGACAATGATTTCATATGCATCAACCACTGTTGACAATCTGTGTGCAATGAAAATAAAAGTTCTGTATTTGACCACATCCCTCGTGGCACTAAGAATGGTCTCTTCAGTAATTGAATCTAATGATGAAGTGTCTTCATCATAGAGTATGACTGGAGGGTCCTTCAAAATAGCTCTTGCAATTGCTACTCTTTGTTTTTCTCCTCCTGAAAGCTTGAGTCCTCGTTCACCAACTTGGGTGTCATATCCACGTGGCATTCGAAGAATTGCATCATGAAGTCCAGCTAATTTTGCCACTGCATATACTTCCTCAGTGAAGCACTGATGTTTCCATATAAGAGGTTGTAGTAAATAGTATTATGGAAGAGGACAGCATCCTGAGGTACCACTCCCACTGCCCTCCGAAGGCTTTCCAGGCTCACATCTTGTATATTTTGACCAGCAAGGTAAATGCTACCTTTTTGAGGCTCATAGAAGCGAAACATCAGCCTTACTATTGTGCTTTTCCCTGACCCACTACCTCCTACAATGGCCACTTTCTTTCCTGCAGGGACTTCAAATGATATTCCACTAAGAACTTTCTGCCCCTCAATGTACTCAAAATGCACATTATCAAAGGCCACCGTAGCTGTCTGTGGTGTGATCTGAAGGGAAGGTGGCATTACTTTGTCTTTAATTCGGGGGTCTACCTTGAGTAGAGTGAATAAGGTGTTCATATCTATTAGTGCTTGTCTAGTCTCTCTATATACAGTTCCCAGAAAGTTAAGGGGTAATGAAAGCTGAAAAAGCAGTCCATTCACCATTACTAGATCTCCAACGGTAAGGGTACCTGCCACAGTTCCCTGACTGGCAAGCACCATTATAGCCGTTAAACCGACACTGAAAATAGCATTTTGACCAAAGTTCAGCATAGCCAGAGTGGAGGTACTTTTCAATGAAGCAGTCTCATATGTCTTCAAAAATCCATCATATCTCTGTGCTTCATATTTTTCATTATTAAAATACTTCACAGTTTCATGATTCAGCAGTGAGTCTATATCAGCATTACCTGCATCATTATCCGCTTTGTTCATCTCTATTCTAAATCTAGTTCTCCACCGTGTGACTGCAATTGTAAAGGCTGTGTATGCACCAAGGGCTGTGAGGGCTACCAAAGCAAACTGGGCACCACATTTGTAATACAAAACACTGCTGACAAGCATCACCTCAAACATGATGGGAAGAAGATTAAATACCAAAGCACTCAGGACAAAACTGATACCCCTTGTTCCTCTGTCAATAGCTTTAGATAAAGCTCCTGTCTGTCTGCTCAGGTGGAAACCCAGATCCAGGTTGTGAAGATGGAGAAAGACATTTTTGGCTATTCTTCGGATTGAATTTTGGGCTACCTTGCCAAATACTGCATTTCGAACTTCGTTAAAAAAGGCAGCTCCAGCTCTTGATACACCATAGCCAATCAGAACTGCTGTTGCCATGGTTGCAACTGTATCTGGTGCATCACTCAGGTTCAGCATGTTTCCCGACATCTGGTTGAGGCTGTCTACAGCATATTTAAACATGAAGGGGACCACAATATTCATGGCCTTTGCACCACCCAAAAATCCCAAGGAAATGGCAACTCTTGCTCTTAGATCTGGCCTGTCTTTGGGCCACACATAAGAAAGCATTGCTTTTATGATTTTCCGAGTATCAACATCTTTTAACCCTTCTTTCGGGTCTGTGTGGAGCCCTCCTCCTGCGTGACCATGCCAACATGTCCTCTTTTCTCCCAGTGGCCATGCCTGGAGAGCCTTTGTAGCATCTAATAATTGTCTTGAATTGCATTTTCTCACTCTCTGCCATGCAGTATTTCTTAATGACTCTGGGATCTGGCAGATTCGAGCGGTTCCCGAGGCGCCGAGCTGATGTAATCTCCATTGCGGGCCTGAGCGGCAGACAGAGACTAGAGGCCTGACCAGAATCGCGGAGTGCGGCGCTTTTCGAAAGCAGCCGGCGCGGCCGCCCAACGCCAGGATGTGTCGCGAGCAGCGCCATCTTGAGCCCCTCTAGCACTTTTAAATAATGATCAGGGGACACATTTCTCTCAGGGCCTCTTCTTCTTGGCTTTACTTATACAACACTTCCTCCTGCAGTTTCATCATTTCATTCCTTACTCTGAGCCTTTTTTCAAGTTGAATTGCTTAAAATAATCTCCCTTTCCAGCTTCCAGAGCCTCCTTCATTCATTCCTGTAGGCAGCTCCAGCACCCCAGCTCCTCCTTCCTGCACTCAGAGGAGCACAGCCAAGGAGTTCTCTGCTTTTGCTCTGCCTGAGCCCAGTGTTCACAAGATTCCATTTCAATGAATTTAATTCAACAAATGTTTACATACTAAAAAAGAAAGAAAAAAGAATGGGCTCCAGGTGATCAATAGTGGAAATAGAGAGGAGAATGGTAACAGCAATGTGCTAAGGGCAGAACAAGCCTGTACTGTCATGGTTAGACATGGAACAAGGGAGGAAGAGGAGCCCATGGTAATGTTGAGTAAGTTCACATCACGGCTTTTGACTATGTTGTGGGAACTGAGTCAGAAAAGGAGTCCTAAAGGGTAAAAATTTACACCAAGAACTGAAGTTGAGCAGAAGTTTTCTAAGCAAGGAAAAGAGAATGGGGCTTTCTCAGGAAAATAGGAAAATGTCTTTATTTTTGAACCCTAGGATGCAAGTTGAGTGGGACTGAAAGCACAGGAGACCACCAGGAGAGAGAGCAGGACGCCACCTGTGAAGCTTTTCCAGGATCCTCTGGGTTTCCCCATAATGACCCAAGGACTCAACTGCCTTTCTTTCCTCCCCAGACTGCTTCTATCCACTGTATCTATTGGAGATTTTCTCCATATATGGCTAACCGTGGCCACTAGGTTCCATATCCATTTGCACTTCTTGGTTTTAGGATTTTACTGCCAATACTTCAAGCATAGGAATATTACAAGGGTTTTAAAAATCTTACTAAGTTCTTATAATCCCTGGTCTATGGAAACCAGCTCCCTTCTTTCCTTAACCTCCGTTTAAATTCAGATTCTCCATTTACTAGCTGTGTGGCACTGTGTGTGTCTTTTACCCTCTCTATCATCAGTTTTTCAACAGAAAAAAAAATAAGTAATAGTAACTATAAAACAGAATTATGAGAACTAAACTAGTAGATACATAAGCTATTTAATTGTTTGAAAGTAGTTTACCTTTTGAGAAAGCTAGGAAGTAACATCAGTGAAAAAGACAGAGTCCCAAAGAACAGGCCCTTACTGCCCTAAACACACACACACACACACACACACACATTGTCCAAATAAACCTTATCAGAACTCTGGAAAATACTCAAAGGTTTACAGACAAAGAAAACAAAGAATCAGAATAAGATCACTTAGGATGACTTAAATAACACGGGAAAGTTTTATAGCATTTTTAACTTAACTTTGTCTCAGCTTGCTCCCCAGTATGGTGGCAGTCTCAAAGACAGCAGCCCACGTTTCTGGATGTGGTTTCAGAAATATTCCAGAGAGAACAAAGTTGACCTCATTCCCAAGGAATTGTTTGTCCGTTTTGGCCTGTCTGCATTTGCCTTTGTTTTATCTAACTTGGAATTCTCTCAGGGTGAAAAGTCAGTTAAGTGGAAGCTTTCTTTGGAACACTGAAAAGCAAATGAACAAGCTGCTGAAACTTTTGGCAAAGGCTTAGAGTTCAGGCAAACAATAGACATGCCAAAAGCCTGGGAGAAAACTCTGGGAAAACCCTAAGTGGGGGTGGGGGGAGAATACCTCTAACCCTTCCTAGGAAAAGGCAAAGATATACAATGTAACCCAAAGGTCAAAAAAAGAAAAAACAAACAAACTTTTATCGGGTGGTGGGCAGATGGGAGGGGGGAGTAGGGGAAGAATTTATACTTACAAAATAGGTGTGATGCGCACCACCTGGGTGTAGGACACACTTGATGTTTTGGTAAGGCAGGGGGTGGGGGGAGGAATGGAAGGGGCAATATGTGTACCCTAAAAATATTTGTACCCCCATAATATGATAAAATAAAATAAAATTAATTTTAAAAAACTCTGGGAAAAGAGTTACTTTAGCCAATGCTTATTTGGAGCTGTGTCATCCCCAGAGAGCAAAGTCCCTGTACCATGCATCCCCTAGGACCAAGTGGCCATTATTCCAATGTCCACAAATTTCTATAAATAGAAAGGTCACTGTAGGAGATACAGATCCTCCTACCAGATGGAGTTTTCTGTGAAGACACTTGATGACCTAAAGCTTATTTTTGCTTCCTTGGACACCTAGAAAACTTTGGGGCATCTTTAGTGAAGACTGAAATAAATATCACTGTTTGGTATTTTACCTATTCTTTTTTGAAATATAGAATGATTTTTGCAGAGAAGCTTTGTGGCATCTTAATGTAATTGAACTATGTTGAATCTAAGAGGCAGATTGTGATAATGGATATAGCACCTCTCTGGTTCCACTTGGGGGTTGGATACAGGGTGACCTGTGGTTTTAGACACCCTGTGCTCATGGAAACTCCAAGAAGAATATTCCGTCGGCTGTAGGAGGATGGGGAATAGTATGAGATCTTGTCCACACACTTGTGCAGGTAAGTTGACCTGAAGGCAGAAAGTGGAAATACAAGAATCGGTAGTATATGATCCTAGAAAAAGGCTTGGCTACTTCATAGAAAACAACTCTCTGTAAAAATTTCTCCTAATAATTCTAGAAACAAGTGACACTTTTCTTCATCAAGCTGTGTGACTGTCCCATTTCCCTGATTATCATGAAAGTCTTATGTGTGAATTGAATCCTAGAAGCATTAAAGACTTTCAAAATTGAAAAAAAAATAACTTTAGGAAATAAGGGCTCTGGAAGTCTCTCACATATAAAGGAAAACTCAGAAAATCACACATATGTCCAGAACAGGAATGACTTGAGAAAACCCTCAGCTTTAACCTTCATCCAATCTTTAGGCAAAAGCAGGAAGCAACAGCTAATGCAGGATTGGCAAACAGCCTGGCTTAACATTGAAGAAGTACCTCAACACAGAGCAAATCTGCAAAGACAAGGAGAGAATTTTTTTTTATTTTTTTTATTTTTTTTATTTTGGCATATTGTGGGGGTACAGCTTTTAAGGTTTCAATAAATGCCCATTTCCCCCCCTCCCCCCAAAAGTCTGAGTCTCCATCATGACCATCTCCCAGATGGTGCACATCTCACTCATTATGCATGTATATACCCGCCCCCTTCCCCCCTCCCACCTGCCCAATACCCTATTACTGTAGCACCTAT